AATTTCTTACGTTTTATCTATAATTGATCAAAAGCAGCATATCGGGCGGAAATAATATTGGAATTATTCGTTTTAAAATAAAAATTTGCGATACTGTAATATTCTCTTTTATATATAGACAGAAGAGGATGCATAAATGATTAGATCATCTCCTAGGAAATGTGAAGAAAATTTAGGCAGTAAATGTGTACTGCCGTGGAAATAAAAAATTCAAGAACATATCTTGTGATTTATAAATGGTAAATTTATAAAAAATAAATTTAAACAATTAAAATCGTTGTTGATTCCACAGAAAGATTCCGACATTTCAGCGGGACTCTATATAATCACCAATAATTCAAGAGGATCGCGTTTCGTCTTTTTAGCATTTCTGAACAAAATTACTATTCCAATTTTAAATTTGCTAATTAATTTATAAAATATCTCAATTTTAATCTTAAATTATATAAATATATAGTTAATTTTGATTTTAATTTTAAAGATTACACTATTGTTCCGACTTGTTTCAAATTTTCTTACAAAAAGCTTACCTAACATTTTGTCAATTTAAAAATTTTACACCTATTTTTTTATCCTACACCTTTTCCTCAGAAATCAGGCTTTCTTTTACCCAATTTATTCTCTCTCTCTTTTTATATATATATTTAAGAAAATGGAAATTTTTTATCCAAAAAATAAAATAAATATTTTAACTAAATTTATATTTCTCTTACTAAATATTTATCAAAGCATACATAAATAATAAAAATAACACAAAATAAAAATTCAAAATTTAATTTATTTTCTACCCGAAATGTAAAGTTTAGTACTTGCAAGACATTTCTGTTGGCTGTACTTTGTTACTCAAGCATATTAAATGTTAAACATAAATAATTTAGACTGACATTTATGTCAAATAATCCTAATGATTTTAATTAATCATTCAATAACTTATTTCAGTTTAAACTAAGATAAACCAAATACGAACATTTTCTAAGTTTTTAGAGAAAAAGAGTGCTGTATTTTTCTTATTAACATTGAACTGTTGCCATCCAAAAAAGTTATTCAGATATAAATGCATTCCAAAACAAAAACGATAACTCTTAGTGCTAAAATTCGTAACTGAATGCATTTGTTTTTTGAAAAGTACGAATCAAAACCGTCTTCAAATCTTCGCTTAAGATCTATATTACACTGTAAATCAATTAGTTAAATGTATAGATTCTTGTCACGTTATCCATGAGAGGTAATGTAAACTCAGACAACAAATAATATTTTTAATGGTAAAAAATGAATGAAATAAAAAAAAAAAAAGAAAAAAAAAAAAAAAATCTGAAATGTTTCAGATTTTAAATTACGTCCAAAGGGGCGTTTTTTAACAGTTTGTGTGTTACCTTTCTTTATTAAATATCATGTTCCTCGCACTTAAACCATAAGATCCAGTGCAACAGCAATATCGCAAAATAGTTTTAAAACGAGCATATCTTTAGAATTTCCGATACAGAGACTCACGCGCTGGAGATAAAAATGTTTTTTCTGCACAACAACGTTGCCATTGCTCGCTTTGAAATCCTTGAGTTTGTTAATCAAAAATTCGTCAAAGTTTTAAAAAATAGGAAATCGATCATAAAACAAATTTCAAATTTCAAATTTGGTCTTCCACATGCTCATATTCGTTGGAGGATTACGTTATTCAAAATTCGATGACTCTATGTACCGTTATTTTATGACAATGTGAGAAATATACATACATTTACGCAGATTTTCATTATTTAATTTCTTCAAATATAATGCAGGACTCTAACATTTTATGGCAACAGTTTGAAAAGTGAACCGACATTTATCCGTCCGACGCAAAATGCCAAAACGAAACTAATAGTCCTTCGTATTCAAATCCCTTTGGACTAAAAAGAAATCTGAAGGCTTTCAGATTTTATAATCCACCCAAAGGGCCTTTTTTTTAAACGTTTTGTGTGTTACCTTTATTTATTAAACATCACGTTCTTCGCACTTAAACGATAAAATTCAATTCAACAGTAATATCACAAAATAATTTTAAAAGAACATATCTTTAGAATTTCCGATACTCGGTCTAGTGCGCTGGAGATAAAAATTTTAAGACTGAGTTTATTAATCAAAAATTTGTAAAAGTTTGATAAAATATGAAATATATAATAAAAAAAAATTCCAAATTCGGGCTTCCAGATACCCATATTCAAGTGGAAGACTATGTTATTCAAAATTTGATGTCTCCAGGTACCGTTGTTTTTTCACAGAGCGAAAAACATACATACATTCATGCAGATTCTTCATGATTTAATTTCTTCAAATATATGGTCGCAACAATTTGGAAAGTGAAACGCTGTTTATAGCGAACCAACGCAAAATACCAAAACAAAATTAATAGCCCTTCTGGACAAGTTGCCTCTTTGGGTTAAAAAAATTCCTGAAATCTTTGCAACAAATATATAATTGAAATATATTCGCGGGCAGCATAAAATTGCTTCGGGGCCGCCAGGTTAAGACCACTTTTTACAGTCACGCTTAGTAATTTTGCAGGCACGATAACTAACCAATGGAGCACGAAATGTCAATATATCAATAATACTTTTTAAATAATTCTAATTTGATAATTAACTTCCATTCAAAATAGAATAACGCATAACTTTGGATAAAATTACAACTTTTATAGTAATAACTAATAAAGTTTTTCTGTTTTTATCATCAAATATAAGCGCATGGTTTTTCCGCATGTTGTACATAAATTTGTTGCGAACTGCAAAATTAAAATCAATTTTAAAAAGAATTTAGGTTTATTCTTTGGCAATAAACTTTCCATTTTGAGATTTATTTTAAATCATTTTAATAATAAATATGATTTCCTAGCATTTAAAATACTAGCAAACTTACGTACTACTTTTCTTCGTCTCGCTAATGAATAGGACTTGCCACAAGAATACTATAAATTGGCTTTTATATTTTACTTCATATATAGGAATATCTCACGAGGATACGAGAAATAGATACGCGAAATTTAAAGTCATAAAGAACTTCCGTAATAGAATAGGCAAGTTTCAAACTAGATAACTCCCGCTCTACCCATATCAGAAAATCTGACGGTTTAATAATTTTAATGGAATAAAAGCAGAATTGATTTTTAAGAAAAATTTAGACTTTTGAAGTTAACAATAATTTTTCAATAACAAGTTGACAATAATTTTGGAACAGAACTTTTATGCTAGTTCATTTCTTCTTTTTCCTCGCAGGGCGGTAAAAAAGCTTCGATGCCGTTTTAAAAGGTATAGATGGCATTACAAACAAGAAAAACCCAGGTTTATTTTGCTTTTGAAATTTCGGTTCTGAAACTCGCAACCACTTTTGAAAGGAAAAAATAATTATGCGCGCGCACTTTTGAAGTACTATGATGGTGACTTAACCTAATGTTTGAATACAAATTAGTCACATTAGATTCTCGAATATTATCAAAATAATGTCATCTCGATACAAAAAACAGCATTTCCCTGATTTGAAATATTGCGGGCAAGAAATTTAAATTTGATCAATACACGAATTTCTTTTTAGTCACAAGTTTCGTAATTCACTGGTGGTTGAATGTCATAACACTTCAATGTAGAATTAGAGTAACATAAAATACTGCTGTCGTCTTCTTTAAAACGCAAAATGGAAACAGAGAAACGAATGTCATCTAAAGAAAGTATAACCTACCAGTTACATCATTCTGCTACAATTTATTCATTTGCTTCGATGTTAAAAGAGTCTGTTATAAAACTTACTTTTACTTCAACTCACTCATTCGGAGCTGATTCGTCGCAACAAAATTACAGCTGCCCCATTTTTTATTTATTAATTTGTTAGGAATTCGAATCCAAGGAATGTTTACTATGAAACTATGCCATTAATAAGCGTCTATCATTTACTTGTCAATCCTTTGAAATGGTAGCGAAATGTTAAAAACATGGCAAATGAATTGCACATGTTTGTTTTCTAGCCTTATAATCCAAAATAAAAAGATCGTAAAATGCTGATGACAAAAAAAAATGTATCGGAAGTTTGTGCTTAAGTGAGTTAAACAACGATATATATCCAAATGTGTTGCATCTTTAAAACAATGCTTCTTGCGAAGAAATACATAAAAAGCTGAATACTCAATCGGTATTTTCTAGTATTCTCAAGACAGCTCCATCCATTACAGATTTTCATATAACTTATTCCTTGAACATGGTGAAAAAACAGAAAATGGTTAGGGTTAGCTTTGGTCAAATGTGATAGCCGAAAACTAGTTGCATATTTTGGGAGGCTTATAAAAACATTAATGCATTATAATATATATTTCCATGTTTTTTAAAAAGGTAAAGAAAATATATACTTCCATACACTTAAACCAAAGGGAAAACTTTTAAAACAATGGAATTACTATTAAAATCATTCCTTACTAAAACCCTTTAAAAAGTATTAAAAAAATTCTTTCAGAACTCCATATAAGAGTATGAAATATAAAGTATAATTAAACGCAATGAACTAGTTATTGCTAAAATCAAACAGCGTTTGAATTCATTATTCAAAAATTCTTCAATGCCACGGCTAACTTCACAAACCCTCCTAGCGCCTCCCCCCCTTTTTTTTCAGTGTAAGATACTGACAAAATATGTCAGTATAAAGATATTTATACGCTTGCTCGCATTACAGTAGTCTTAAACTCCAGTTCCAGCAGAGGAAAAGAATTTTTTCATTTACATTTCACCCATAAACGCTGAAGATCTGCATTTTAACACTCAGCTTAATCCTTTGACGTGCAGTGTAAGCGAACGAAGAGCGGAACGCTGTCTTCATTATCTGTTTCTTTCCCTGTAAACAAGCGAGTTTACTCTCCAGTCATGGTTTTAGAAAAGTCGCCCAAAAGAATCGAACCCTTTGAAATGAAATCATTCGAAACAAATCATCGTCAGTAGGACCAAATTGAACCGCACAAAAGGGGATGGAGAAAAAGAATGCGAACTCACCTTGCCGTCACGTGCTCGTTCCCACAGCGGCGGCGGAATGCAACTAGTCCCCCGCCTGAGTAACAACAACAACAGGTAGCTTGGAACACACTGTGACCGCCAAGCTGGAAGGAGTGCGGATCCAGTAGCTTCGGACTCCACCCCCTCAAGGGTTCGCGCACCATTGGCGGGCCGCTGCAGTGCGTGAGCCATCTCCTCCTACCCCCCTGGGCATCCGCTGGCAAGGCCACTCCGCCCGCCCGCTTTTGTGGGGGTGGGGGCTGGAATGGGGAAGTCGCCCTCTCGCATCTCTCTCTTTCTCTTAAGTTGTCTGACACGCACTCGGTGAGCGCCATCTGGCGGGCTGAGAGGGTTGAAGGTACGGCGGCAAGTTTGACGCCGCCGCGCGCAGGTGAAACGGCGTGTTATCTTTGCGACTTGCCATCCGTCTTGAGGTTTCGTTGCTCAAGGCAGATTCATGGGCGCCGAGGTCCAGCTTGTGTTTAGAGGTTTATCCGAGATTACTCGTTGAAGCATGAATTAAATAGCTTATGTTGAGAAAACGTCCATCCATTCTTTTTTACAGCCAAAGAAAGATGATGTCATACGTTCTTTATTGGTAATTACAGGATAAATTAATTATCCTACATTCAGAGACATTTTCTTTCTTTATTACTTTTTCGAATTCTATAGACGATCTAAAAGCTACTGAAGCGCCAGAATTTTTTTTTCTTTCAACAAAATAATAATTTGATTATAAAAATAAAATGTATTTTCAATAAATTTTAAATTTCGCTTATTAAATATTTATCAAAACATACACAAACCATAGTTATAATTTAGCAAAGGGAAGACACTTTTGTTGGTTACATTTTGTAATTCAAATATACTGACAGCTAAATATTAAATTCTTAGACTGGCACTTCTTTCAAATAACTCTAATACGTTAAATAACGATTTTAACTTAAACTAAAAATAAACAAATTATGAAAACGTTCTATGTTTTCAGAGACGGCCAACCAACCAACAAATTTCTGTTATTTATTTAATTTTTACTTAATTTTAACAACCAACAACTTTCTGTTATTTATTTAATTTTTACTAGAAAGTACTAGAGAATATCTTCATCACAGATTGCAGATGCTCATTGGTCAATCGGGTTCTTTTCTTACAAATTTTCAACTCAAAAAGCTGTTCAGTGCTAAATATATTCCTAAACAAAACGGTTGTTCTTAGTGCGAAAATTTCGTAAACTGTGCTCATTTATTTTTTGACAAGTACGAATAACGGTTAATGATATATGTATCTTCAAATCTTGGAATAAGAATTATATTAGATTGTAAAATAACAAGCTCCATTTATAGATTTTCTGTTGCGTTGTTTGTTAACTCAAACGGCGTTAGCCCAGAAGGGCTATTAATTTCATTTTGGAATGGAATTTTGCTTCGAAATGTCGGTTTACTTTTCATATTGTTGCTACCAAATATTAGAGCTGTGTATTATATTTAAAGAAATTTAAAAATGTAGAATCTGCATAAATGTATGTATGTTTCTCGCATTGGGATAAAACAACGGTACCTAGAGGCATCAAAATCTTGGAATCCTCCATCTGAATATGGGCATCTGGAAGCCCATATTTGGAATTTAGGTTAGGTTATTTAATTATGGCAAAGCCTGGAGGGCTATCTGCCTAAGGTGGGAATGCCTTCGTGGAGGACTTTCTAAGGAAAACTGGCTCGTATACACGTTAAACATGGGGGAAAACCACGAAAACACCCATGCAGCCAGCTCGTTCGCGGAATTCGAATATTTTGTATAGCATTTATGAATTTTTGATTAAGAAACTCAAGGATTTCAAAGCGAGCAATGCCACTGTTCGAAGGGGGGGGAATTACCTCCAGCGCACGACGCTGTGTATCAGAATTCTAAAGATAAGCTTTTTTAAATTATTTTGCGATATTGCTGTTCAACTGAATTTTATGGTTTGAGTGCGAAGAATACGATATTTCATTAATAAAGGTAAAACACAAAACGTCCCTTTGAGCGTAATGTAAAATCTGAAAACTTTCAGAGCGGCCTTTTTTTTTTAAGCTGGGGATGTGAAAAATTGTGCAGTATCCTTGCCAGAAACAGAACCCTGGACATCTCGAATACGCGTTGAGTATTCTTCCAATTACACCACGTAGAGACGCGGAAAGGAGGGAGAAAATTTCATGTAACTTCGTACAAGGAAATAAAAATGAAAGCAACGCTCACGAGCGGTTAATTCATAAGCTAGTTTAGAGCATAAAAGGTCGCCCAACTGGTGTAGTGGTTAGCGTCGCTGACTGCCGTGCCGAAGGGCTTGGGTCCGAATCCCGGAGAGGGCATGGATATTAGTAAATATATAGTGTCCTTGCGGCATGGGGACACTCTAAATATGCTGATAGCCGAAAGTCCTCCGGAGAGGTTGATAGTAGGGGAAGAAAGGAAGACCCCTCTCGGAGCAGTACCCCGGGGGTAGTTTCCATCAAAATTCTCGGCGAAACTGAGTTAAATGGCAAGGTGCTCAAGGCTATTGCCATTGACAGACATATCTTGCGCTCCTTGCCAAGAGGAATTTTGTGGGCTTGGTTGACTAGGTCACACAAGTGAGCATTAGTCAACAACAACAACAACAACAGAGGATAAAAGGATGCGAAGACAACGCTCAAATTGATATTTCGGAAAGGATAAACGCAGAAAACAGAACAAATTAACAGAAAAGGATAGTACGAAAATTAGCCACGCTGAAGCTTTGGTTTCTTTCATTTACGGCAAAGCTTTCGAGAGTTACCTTTCTTTCGCAATTGGCTCTTTAAGAGAAAATGGCTCATATTTGCATTATACATTGGGAAGAAAACACCAACACTCTTTTCAAAAGGCAAAGGTCTTTAACATTCGAAAAAATGTTTTGATGCCTCTACTGCGAATTTTTCGTTGATCAAAAACTGGCGTGATTGAAGGAACGGATAGGATTGCTAAGTAAAAGGTAAACAGACTTTACAAAATTTTAATAACTTCGTATAAATTTTCACGGAATTCCTTTACTCCATTTTTTTTTAATCACAAATAGGCTATTAATCTCGAAATAAGATTTTATAGTGTTTCATTTTTCGTTGAATCTGTTGCCATTCGGAAAAACGTAATATACTATTTTTTCATATTTAATCAGTCTGTTATTGATGAACAAACTAAACTATTTAAAAATAATAGACCAATAACATAAAATATAATTTTTTTTTTTTACTTTTTAACCTGATCAATTTGAGCCATTAACATCATCTGTTAATGGCAAAAATTTTCTACAAATATGCAATTTTTCTAATGATTTGTTAAATAGGCATCATTCATTGTATCTGTATATCACAGCATATTTCTTTATTTCTCTATTTCATGAAACTAGGAAATAGGGGAAAAAAAAAAAAAAAAAAAAAACACTTTCTTCTTTGATGTCTTTATTGAAACTACAAATATATGCTTAGAAATTCGCCCACTAAGCATTCGTAGATCTTTGCTATAGTTTTCAAAAATCCCTTCGTAAGAAGAACTTTGTGTATCTTAAATGTTCAAAATAGACCAAATTCAACTCCCACTCGCTGTTAAAAGAATACTAAGAGACTTCTGACAATGATTTTTATTAACCGAAAAATGAGTAAAGTGCAGACAATTACTTGCATTTCATTTATACATGTTAAAAAAAAATCCCATGGCCTTTTTTTGAATTAAGGCTGTAATAATGATTTCTTTTCTTGCCGAATCATAAATTCTCTGCTTTGAAATTTTGACACATATATACTGAAAAAAACGGAACATTTCTTTGGTCATACATGATTTACAAAGAATGTACATTATCAGAATGCAATTTTCTGGAAAATCAGGGCTTTTGCAACCAGTTCAAAATGCACATTTCCAAGACCAATTACAGGAATTAGTAGCTACTAAGAGAAGCTACAACACGTGACCAGAAAGTTTCTAACATTATCACGTAACACGTATTCATGTAAAGGCTAATTACAACCCCAGCGGACAATTGCCGATTCTTTCACTCACGGATGCGCTTAGAGAATTATCGCATAGCGATATGGTTGAGTGAACGGTAACCGTAACTGTTTCTAACATTACCAATATATATATAAAGATGAGTATATTGTTTTTGCGTGACCACTCTTCAAACTCTGAGTCAGTTTGCAAGAAGATAACTATCATAAGTACCTCGATCGAACAAATATTTGAAGGTATGACACATGAGACTTAATGTCCGGGATAAACTATGTGGTAGCAATAATGTCTTAGAAACTGAGTGAACTTTAGAACTGAAATTTAGGAATTTGTCGCTCATTACACTATCCAACTGTTTAAAGCGAAATAAAAATAAGAATTGTTAATGAATCTATTACATAATAAGGTTTTCAGATTTTACACCTCAAAATTTATTATATCAACTGAAAACGTTTAGTCAATTGCCTGTGCTACTGGCATCCAGTTCCAGAAGACCATGAAGAGCCATGATCTTTAGTCAGAAACAATAGGCATCGATGGTGGTAGTTTCAGTTTGATTTTATTTTAGACCATAATATATATGAAAAAATAAAGGTGTAGTGTCCGGGACTCCTTAAAAATGGTGCTCCTTCATAAAATAGTATCGCCTCCGGCGAAGGAACAGAATCCTTAAGGCAGCTCCCGGGCAGCTCTATGGACAAGAGCGGATGGGTGTGATGAACGGAAAGACGGGGCCGGTTCAATCTTTATGAAGGTGGCAGGCACTGGCGAATTGACAGTTTTTTCCAATGTACATGCCTCAGCATTAAAACGTAATGCCTCAGCATTAAAACGTAAAGTGCCGGTACCCATAGATATTTGAAGTCATACCCTGAAGAAGGCAGCCTTCCTCAAGATTCTGGAACGTTCTTTCGAAGGTCTAAGTGAACAATCTCCCACTAGAAAAAACGTGCAGGCAACCTTCTACGAGTTAGTCCTTGTTCATCAAGACATAAGAGGTACTCGGTGCCTGTATGCAGTTCAGTTTACAGTTAATGCAACTTTCATCAAGATGCCGAGACGCAACATGTCGAGTTTTTATTTTAATCTAGTGCTGTACCTTTATGATGGTTTCTTTCTTGAGGAAATCTCCCCGATAAAGGTGCAAAGTGAGCCATTTTTAACCAAGGATGCTTTGGTATAAACGGACCTGTACCCTTATGAAGCCGATGCCATTAAGTTCACTTTATGACGGGAAGAAAGAAAGCAATTTTGTCGAAGTGCTA